CCCTCAACAACCAGGGCCTCCAATATAATCTACAAGAAAACCAATCAAAGGACCAAAATGAAATGAATCATTATTAAAATCTTCTTGGCATTCTCTGGCAATATTAAATTAAAAGGGAATCAATGAAATCTCAAATTTGGAATACTAAAGTAAAAGGAAATCAATAAAGTGGAAATGGAATTCTCAATATTTTAATGGAAATCTAAATCCAAAGACCTCCAAAAGCATCAAATCTCAATGGAAATCTCCAAATTTTAAAAAGAAATCTCCATCCAAAAGCCTCCAAAAGCATCAACTCTCAATGGAAATCTCAAAATTTCTGATAGAAATCTCCATCCAAAAGCCTCCAAAAGCATCAAATCTCAATGGAAATCTTCAAATGTTTAATGGAAATCTCCATCAAAAGGCATCCAATCTCAATGGAAATCTCCAAACCTCCAATGGACATCTGAAGCAGCAACAGCAACAGCAGCAACAGCATTGGAAGGGGGGTTTAAGAGATGTTCAATGAGTTGTAGCACTTTAGAATCTGGAATATTGAAGCCTTTGAGCCTTGCCTTCCAGCTTCAACCCCCCCACTTGCTTGCAGGAAACACAGTGGTGGAGATGTTGAAGGCAAATCCTTTTAAGAAGGAAGAAAAGGCTTCAAAGAAAGGTTGAAGAAGAGTTGAAGACAGCTTGGAGGGGTGGCATTTCTAGATTGCAGGAAGCTTGAAGAAGCTTAAAGCACACCCTTAGTTTGAGCTTGGGTGTCCAAAAAGGTTCTAGGTTTGGCAGCTTGAAGGAATACTTTGTTAGAAGGGTTTGGAGTCCTGGGTTGGAGCTTGCAGTTTGAAGGGCTTTGCAAGGGTGCACTTTGAAGTTTCTTTTTGAGGGAGTTGCAACTTGCAGCATTCAGTTGAAGTCTGTTTTGCAAGGGCTTGCAGCTTGAAAGAATGGATTTGGAGGGGGGTTGCAGCTTGCAGCATTCAGTTGAAGCTTGCAGCAACAGCAGCTTTCAGCTTTTCAAGTGGGCCTTGCAGCGCGTGACTTTCAGCTTGGGATTTGCAGCACCTTGAATGACACTGGCACAGCTTTCTTTTTGAGGTTTGTTTAAGTCCCAAGTGTTCTTAAAGACATGTTTCATCAGTTCAATTCATTGGGCACCTTGTTCAGGCCATGGCTTTCAGCAGCTTCTTGGAGAAGATCTTTGGCAGCTTGGGGTATGCCTTGGAGATGCTTGGGTGGCTTCTAGGCCACCTTGCAGTGATCTTGACAGCTTGGCTGGTTGGAGTTGGAAGCTTGGAGGGAATCAGCAACTGTTTTTTCTTTAAAGCTTGGAGATTGGTTTGCAGTTTGGAGACAACTATGTCTAGTCTCAAAGAATGTTTCAAAGCTGTGAAGGCATTGGCCACTTCCAGCTCCTGACACCTTTTGCAGACTGGACTGGCTTTGCAGGGGCTTTGCAGGTGTCTTTGCAGATTGAAGCTGGGTTATATTCTAGTAAGTCTTCATTTGCAGTTGCCAAGATAGATTAGACTCTTTGAGCTGTGGTCATTTGCTTGGTGGTGTTTTCAAGTGCGCATTGAGCTCAGCTCAGGTGCAAACCTTTGCAGTGTGCTTTGGAGTCTTCAAGGTTCTTCAAGATTTGAAGGCCCCTGTGGCCACTTTGGAGAGCATTGAAGGGTATGCTTCCAGCATCTATTCCAGCTCCAATTACATTGCAGACAAGGTTTGCTACATTGAAAGCAGCATCTCAGATGGATTG